TATTGTCATTAGTTTCCAGGATGTTTTTAATTTCTTCTTTGATCTCTTTGGTAACCCAATCCTTGTATAATAGCATGCTATTCAGCTTCCAAGAGTTTGAATTTTTTGGATTGTTTTTATTGTAGTTTATTTCTAATATTATGCCATTGTGGTCTGAGAAGATGGTTGATATGATTTCAATCTACTTGAATTTGGGGAGACTTTGCTTGTGACCCAATATGTGGTCTATTTTTGAAAATGTCCTATGTGCACTTGAGAACGTATATTCTGTGGCTTTGGGGTGAAATGTTCTGAAGATGTTAATTAAGTCCATCTGATCTAGTGAGTCATTTAGGATTGCTGTTTCTTTGCTGATTTTTTTGTCTAGAGGATTTATCCATTGCTGTCAGTGGTGTATTAAAGTCCCCTACTATGATTGTATTGTTGTCGATCTCTCCCTCGATATCTTCCAGGAGTTTTTTTATGTATTTGGGTGCTCCTGCATTGGGTGCATATATGTTTGTCAGCATTATATCCTCTTTATGTATCAATCCCTTTAGTATTATGAAGTGGCCTTCCTTATCTCTTGTTATGGCCTGCACTTTGAGGTCTATTTTGTCAGATATAAGTATTGCTACCTCAACTTTTTTTTCATTTCCATTTGCCTGAAAGATATTTTTCTATCCTTTTACTTTCCGTCTGTGTGAGTCCCTTGTTCTGAGCAGGGTCTCTTGTAGACAGCTTATATATGGGTCATGTTTTTTAAGCTATGGATTAGTCTTAACTGATCTTTCCTATAGTTGGCACAACCTTTTTACTGACCACCATGAATTGGGCTTCCAAATGTATGATGTGTTGGTGTGTTTAAAATTAAGGGGGTTACAAAGCAAAATGCATAATAAGAATACCAAGATCAAGCCTTAAAGTCACATTGTTGTTTTTTTAAGAGACTGTCTTCTGTAAGAACCAAGGGGTTGGATTAAACTTGCCAGATGTTCAATGGCCCTGAAAATAAATTCATAGCACCAAGGCCAACCCAAACCCAGGTAATTAGCTAAATAATCTAGTGGTTAGAAACTGTACGGGCTACAGACAGTTGAATTGTTTCTTTGTCACCTTCACTGTTTATATTCCAGTGTAATTAAAACCCCATTAAAATTGAATTCCTAACATAATCAGCAGCCCATTGGCAGGACTGTGGGGCTGCTTCAACATGTAATTAGTGAGGCTAAGTCAGGTGAGGCTCAGGAATTATCAGTAGATGTGGGTAAGCCCCTGAAAATGAGCTAGCATATGTCACATTTCTCATCTCTTACAGCGGGGCTACAGGAAAGGCAAGTGGGGGGCGGGGGGTGTTTTAATGGCCTCAGCTGCCATTTGTGTACCAAAATTTATGTTGTAACCTGATGTATATTCATGTCTGCAAATTACACTTGAAAGAAAAATAACAATGTCAACTGCGGCTGACATTAAACAGTGGGAGATTTTGTACAGAATTTCAGACTTTTCTCTGCACTCAGATTTTTCTTTGTAGCATCTATGTACAAGGCATTTCTTTTCATTTATTGTATCTCATGACCCTCCTTGCTTGTGAGAGAAAAAGGAAGTCAATGGGATAGATATTTTTTTGTCCTTTCAAACCAAAAGGCAGGCTTGGATTTTTTTCTTTCTTTCTAGTATTTTCTTTAAATATGTTTTTTAAATGAAACTCTTAGCTGGTGATAGTTTGCTCCTATAAAGCCCACCACCCTTTTCATTCTGTTTCTTCATGTTCTGTGGCATCACTTCCAGCTCATAATTATTTGTCTCCCATTTAGCCACAAGGTGTAAATTTGCTAACTGAAAAGGCGTGCTCTAACAGTTCACCTCAACGTGCGTCCAAAGGCTGAGCTGGCTGCACTGGATAATTTCCCTGGGGGATTGTTCTGTGTAATGTGGGGCCATTTGTTGAGCTGTCTGATGTGGAAGAAGAGAAAATGAAAGGGCCTGCCAGACAGAAACAGGACCATGCAGTGCCTTTGAGAGCAAAGAGGGAAATCAAAGGGCAATTTCAGGTCCACTCCAGTTCCCCAAGCATGTGCCTGGGAACTAGAGAATCGGGATTTTTTTATGTTAGTGCTTTTAGAAAAGTCAGTACGAGAAAGCCCCAAACCAGGAGGCAATGGCCAATTTGGTAATGTTCATGGGCTGTGCTCAGAAGTTACCACCAAGTCAGAATACTTCTGTAGGTGCCTGGGAGTTACTAATTCTTCAAGGGTCTACAAATATGTTTGGAACTAGAAAAAATATATATACATTGATATTGACTCTCAACTCCAAAAATGTATCTACAAGATAATTAAATGTTTAATTGAATGTCTACAAAATGTTCATTATCAACTTAAGTGTTAAATGTAGTCTTCTTAAAAATGACATGGGAAAACAAATTGTGAATTGATCTTCTTTACTTTTCAAGGCTTTGAGCATGCCGATCATAAATTCAAAGAATTGCACGTAGCCAGTCATTTGAAATGCAAAAATATAAAAATCCCTTTCATTTGTTTATACAAAAATGTATATTTTAGATGGAATGTGGGGGCCACTTAATGTTCTTTGTATGACGTGTGTGGTAGGACTAAAAAAGAGAGCCTAGGGCCGCAGCATGTTTTAGAGCAGCTCTACACCTGTCTGCTGGCCTCCAGGTGTGTGATTATTCTTGCAGATGCAGACCAGCAAAGACTGGAGTATGAAGGATTGGGCAGGCAAGATAGGGGAAAAGGCTTGAGGTTTTTCTTGCTGTGTGCATTCACAGTTGAGGTGGAGCGACCACAGTAGTGGTCTGAGCATGAAGTTGAGGCATGTTGGTAGAACTCCATTGTCACCTTATCTGAGTTGTGTTCTCCCCCAACAAATGCATAGGTCCTCACATTCTACTGTGTTTTAGTCACCTTTCCTCAACCTGACAGATATTTCCACTTTTAGCATGAACAACTTGAAGGAGTGGGGGTAGGAGAGAAGATGGATTATCTGAATTCCATGTGTGATGAGCCTAGTCCAGTGGTCGGCAAACTCATTAGTCAACAGAGCCAAATATCAACAGTACAACGATTGAAATTTCCTTTGAGAGCCAAATTTTTACAACTTAAACTATATAGGTAGGTACATTGTTATTAACTTAATTAGGGTACTCCTAAGGCTTAGGAAGAGCCACACTCAAGGGGCCAAAGAGCCGCATGTGGCTCGCAAGCCACAGTTTGCCGACCACTGGCCTAGTCTAATTCAGTGACCTTACTTGTTCAGGCTCTATTTATTCTTGTTGACCACACGTGGGGCAGTGAATGTTGGTTCCCTCCAAGAGACATGGAAAATGCCACTTCCTTGTAATCTTATTCCCGGCAGTAACACTTTGAAATAATCCTTGCAGAGTTTTTTTCTTTACATATACTGAAGTATCATTATTTGTTTTCAAAATGAGATAGAAGTAAGGTTTGCTTTTTTTTAATTTAATATAGCTTAGTTTTTTTTTCATGTCAATACATGTATACTCACTCCATTTGTTTTAATGACCACATGGTATTCCACTTTGCAGCTAGGCCCTAAATAATTTAACTGCCTTCTATTGCTGGGCAGTTCGGTTGCCCACTCAACTTTGATCTTTCAGGAGCATGCACCATATGCCTAAACAAACCATCATATTGGCTAGAAATATACACTCTTTGCCCCTTGTGTTGGCATAATCCCTCCCAAGGAGCAGGAAAAAGAACAACTCACCAATATTTCCCTATACTGATGATTGTTACTAAATGTGAAACCTGTATGTGCTTCATCGTTTTTTTTATTTGTCTCTGTTTTTGTCTCTTTCTCTTACACAGTCATCTACAGTCAGGGACAAGGATGAACCGACTCTGCCGGTAGGAAGCAGTGGCCCTGTCTGTATGTGCCTGTGGAAGGGGGCGGGGGGTATGAACAAGGGGCTCATGTGCTCAACAAATCACCCTCTCCCTTGGAATACTATGCTGTGCGTGTGTGTGTGTGTGTGCTCTGGCCTATACTTAGTGTCAACCGAATTCTGACATTCATTGACACATTATCTCTGGGACTGTTTCAGAATGTCTCAGTTCTCTCTTTCATTTGGCATGAACTTTTACAGGAGCTGAAAGAGTGAGATAGTCCCACATTACATTCCAAGGGATGTTGAGCTGATATTTGGGGACATTGTGGGGAGGCATCTAATGCTTGATGTCTGTTTTCTTTATGTATCTGCATGCACCTAATTTTTGGCTGGAAATTTCTTTTGGTTCAATAAAAAGAAAAACTGCATGAGAACTATATATCTAGTATATGCATAATGCCCAAAAGAATGCTTTCAGTTCTTTTATAGCTATAATCCTTTGCTAATGAAGATCTTCACAGCAGAGTTCTGCCAGTTTCTCAGAATAAGAACCATAGTCATAGTGGTCATGACCAATTATTAACAACAAGCACATGTTTCAGTTCCTGTCCAATTAACACATCACATCTTATGTGTGAAGCATGACAAGGAAATGACCTTCAGAGTTTTTGTCTTCAGCCATTAAACAGTGATTACATTTCAAATCTATTCAAATCTCTTCACCTTGCCTCTAAAATATTTTGAACCTTAACCATCTAAATCAAATAACACAATGCATTAAAAAATGTTACAGATTTTTAAGGCAGAAGGGCATAGGAATGAAGATACATACGGCCCCATTCTTCCTCCTCTAATGCTCAAAGCCAAGATTTATGACCCTCACTGAGAGCCCATAGGATATGCCAGATCCATTGGGCTAGCGGTTGGACCCAGACTTTTCCCTTGAGGAGCCCATGATCTGGCTCATCACTGAGACACCAGTAATCCCCTCTGACTCTTCTCCAAACCCTGTATTTCTGGGAACATAATTTCTAGTCGAATATCAGTTATAATAAAATCAGACTAAGAAATTCAGACATTTCCGTGTACTTCATACTGACATTTTACCCATACTTCAAGCTTACTATAGGTTAAATGTTTGTCTCCAAACATACAGATTATGATTGTTAATAAGTATTCTTCAGAGTGATGCTCCATGGGCAATAGTTCAGAAACTGTCCACGTTTACCAAGTTAACCTGATTTTTTTTTTAAGCTTAGTGGTCTAATGTATATCTTAAAACTCAAAAGGGCCATAACCGGTTTGGCTCAGTGGATAGAGCGTTGGCCTGCGGACTGAAAGGTCCCAGGTTCGATTCCGGTCAAGGGCATGTACCTTGGTTGCGGGCACATCCCCAGTGGGAGGTGTGCAGGAGGCAGCTGATCGATGTTTCTCTCCCATTTATGTTTCTAACTATCTCTCTCTCCCTTCCTCTCTGTAAAAAAAATCAGTAAAATATATTTTTTTTAAAAAAACCTCAAAAGGTGGTTTAGTCTGGGGTATAGCACTTTCCAAAATATTTGACCATGGAGTCTCTTATGGGACTTTTCTTGGGATGCACCTGGAGTTCAAAGGAACGTTTTGAAAAACCCTGCATTGTAGAGGATTGGAAGGCAGTGGGAAACCATAATTTATTTCAACCAGACCCCAGAAAAATCTCATGTCAAGAATTTGGATCAAAAGTTCAATAAGAAATTCCTTTCCGCACACTGTGCTGCCCTCTCTTAAGGCTCTGTCTGTGAAGCTTGGTCTCTGGAGCGCCGTCCCCTGTGTTAACCAACACAAAATCAACCCAAGAAGGAGAGCACAGTTCCTAATCAGGATAAAAGTTGGTTGCAATCCACTGTTTGGATATTTTATTTTAGATTGTTTGTTTTTGAAGATTTTAACAAAGAGCTTGTTGGTAATCTCACCTCTAGAGGTTCATTGTTCCTCTCTTAACCTGCCAGTTTCATTTATTTGCCCAAAAGTTCACGCTAGCAGGAGTTTATACAAAAGAAATCCTCCCTTTGAAGTTAGGAAGTTTCTCTGTAGATTTATAGTAAGTGGTTCTCTCTCTTTAAATCTCACTTAACACAGACCATAGGGCTTCATGGACTAGAGCTGTGGTCCAGGGCAGAGAAGAGGAACCCTGGGAGATGTGAGAGATGTTCTTTTGGGGGAAAGAGGGAAATATTAACACGTCTATCATTTATTTTCTATATTATTCTTCATAATATCCACTTTTTCAAGTGTTTTATAATATATATGCTCATTTTTTAGTATAGGTATGGATATAGATAGATACAGATATAGATGGATACATAGACATACACATACATACTCAAACATTTTACTGATAGGGTGCACAATCCAAACATTGTAGAGACCACCCACTGGTTCAGGTAACAAATTCTGAGAGAAGCAAACTTGAGATTCATTCCACTACACTCCGTTTCTTGTCTGTGTGAACTGGACACCTCATTTCACTTCTCTATGACAGTTTCCTCATCTGCCTAAAGGAAATAATAACCCGACTGGTGTGGCTCAGTGGTTGAACGTCAACCTATGAACCAGGAGGTCACCATTCGATTCCTGGTCAAGACACTTGCCTGGCTTGCAGGCTCCATCTCCAGTAGGGGGCGTGCAGAAAGCAGCTGATCAATGATTCTCTTTCATCATTGATCTCTCTCTCTCTCTCTCTCTCGCTCTCTCTCTCTCTCTCTGTCTGAAATCAATTAAAAATATTTTAAAGGGAATAAAAACAGCGCCTAGTTCATTTAGTTCATTTTGTGAATGAAGCATATAGCACATTGACTAGCATTTACTAAGCTCTAAAAATGGTAGCAAATAAATTTATTTAATAGGAAAGGCTGTGAGAAAGCCATTCCTTTGGGGGATTTGAAATGTACCTTGGGAATCTTTGGTCAACAGTGTGTGATCATGTGACAGAAACAAGTGACCACCAGACAAAGGGAGGATCTTACCTGTAATGCACTTGCCTTTGGTTTCTGAGAACTAACAGCATCTTTGTCTGGTTTCTCTGTTCAGGCCAAGCCACGTCTCCAGCGAGGTGGAAGCTCTGCCTCCCTCCACAACAGTCTCATGAGGAATAGCATCTTCCAGCTCATGATACACACCCTCGACCCACTCGCTGAAGGTAAACACCAGGCTTTCGTTTGGAAGCTTGTTTGGGGGGAAAGAGGACATACTTCTCTTCCTAAAACATGTGGACGCTTCCGTCACACAAGCCTGCCAGTGTCCCCATGCTTAGCATCTTCCAGAGGAAGCCCTGGTCCTCTGGTGTGCTTTATCTGCACAGCTCCGTTCATAATCGGAGAAGTGCGTACCAGGAGTAGAATTGGACGTCCATGTGCCTTCTGATTCCTCCAGCATAAATACACTTTGTTGTGAGACAGAGAAGACAAAGAGGTTTTTCTCCCCACTAGAGTGACAGTTCCCTTTCTCAAAATACACTTTGTTGTGAGACAGAGAAGACAAAGCGGTTTTTCTCCCTTCCCGCTAGAGTGACAGTTCCCTTTCTCGTCCTTCCTAAGTTCCATAATGAAGTTGTATGCTAAGATAAATTGTGCAGCTTTTAAAAAGAAGAGTGAGAAGAGAACTCGTGACTTAGGAGGGCCAAGAGTAGTTTGGGGAAACCGTGTTCACTGCTGCACATCGATATTGTACTGATTCCTTGACAAGTGGAGGGTGGGGGTCCTCTCTAAAGTGCTTAGGATTAGTCACTGGAGCCCCAAAAGGCCTGATTCACCTCATCAGGAAATCATATGAACCATCCCAAAGACTCCAGGATTGAGTTCTTTCAGTTTCGCTCATTCACAATGAAGGCAGATACATCAAGTTTCTTAAATTGCCTAACTATCCTAAAAAATTAATTTTTCAGGTAGGTGGATATCTGATGTGTCAAATAAATATCAGAGTTAGGCCACTAATGAGGGGGTCACATATAACCAAGTCTGTTCTCTCTTCGCCCATGGACCTTATAATGGGGCCTGATATTACACAGGGACTACTAACCTGGGGAAACGGTCCCTGCCACTGAATAAACGTGGGATGAGATTGTCAAATAATGCCACACAAGTCAGAGCTCAGACCCAATATGAAGCTTTGCTCAGTAATGTCCAGGGTACAGGTAATCGGAGACTCAGATGAAGTAAAGAAAACTCTGGGACGTCAGGAGCGGTTCCCCAGGTTCTAGCTCCCCTCACTGCCACACACCACACCCCCAAAATAATAGGGGAGGATCAAGGGGCCACCACTCCCTGTGGAGTTTTTCAATGGTGAAAAATTTTCTATTTTGTACCCCAGAGAGTTGTAGAGCTGACGTAATGTTCTCCAAGGAGCCCTGCTTCAGAGACCCTGAGTTCTAGATACTAGCCAGACACATCCTAAATATTACTACTCTATTTACCCTGAGGTCCACGTGACAAGGAAGTTAGACCCGGTCACTAGCCCTCTTCTCCTTCTCCCGGGCACACCCCAGAGAAGGGAGTGAAGGGATCACAGGTCAACGTCCTCCCAGCCACTACACCCTTGTGTGGCTTTGGGCAGGTTAGAGTCCTACTAGCATGTACTTGGTTTCTTCATCTATAGTAATAGTGACCTCTGTTTAGCACTTCATAGTTGACAAAGCATTTTCACACCTACATTATGCTTTATAGTAACAGTTCATAGCTAACATTATTACACTTATTTTATAAAATATCATACCATTAAAACATCTCAAATTTATCAACTGTTCTCCCTGCCAGCACTTTATTCCAAGCCATCTCCATTGCTTTCCTGGATTCTTACAGTAGCTTCCTAGCTGGTCTTCCTCTTTCTCCGTTGCCTTCTTCTTTGTATATTTTCCACATGGCAGCCCAAGTAATCTTAAAAAGGGTTCCATTCTGGTCAAGGACACAAACCTCAGTTGCAGGCCTGGTCGTGGCATGGAGTGCGGTAGGCAACCAATTGATGTGTCTTTCTCTCTCTGTCTCTCCCTCTCCCTTCCACTCTCTCTAAAAAAATCAATGGGACAATATCCTCGGATGAGGATTAACAACCACAACAACAAAGAAGTGAATGCAATTATGTCAATCCTACTTATAACCTGTAGTGGCTTCCCATGGCTCTTAGGAAAATTGTGAAATACTTACCATGGTCCATATGATCTGCCTCTTTCTCCAAACTCAATTTGACTCACCTGGCTTTAGCCACAGAGACGTTTCTGTCCTGAAACAGGTACTTCTTTCCAACCACAGGGCCTTTGCACCCAGAATGCTTTTCTTCCCCCCACTTCCTCTGTTTTCCTGCTTTACCCCTGCCCATCCTACAGCACTCTGCCTAAATGACACTTCCTGACCACCTAGTATAAATGGGCCCCCAACCAGCATCTCTCCATCTACCCTTTAATTTCTCTTTATTGCTCACATTATGATTGTGTGATTATTGGTTTACTGCCTGTCACCTCCAGGATACAGTAAGTTTCTCAAGAGCAGGAACTCTATTCTATTCACTACTTGTCCCCAAGATTTAGCAGAGCGCCTGGCATAGAATAGCTGCTGAGGCTCAGAAGGATTAAGCAACTTGGAAAATTCATGCTTTTAACCTATAGTCACACAATTTCAAAGCCTCCTAAACCCCCACAGGTTTAAGATTGTATCTTGGTTATTTTGAGCCACTATCTTCTTCACCCATCTTTATAGAGGGCCACATGAGAAAAGTAAAGAACTATTTTATCTGCTTCAACTCCCTTATGAGCAGGCAACTGAGTATATTTATTTTTGCCAAGCCAGTATTATGTAGTAATTAATAGGACAGACTCCAGAGCTAGAGTCTCTGGGTCCAAATCCCAGCTCTGCATTTACTAGCTGTGTGACCTTCAACAAGTTACTTAACTTCTCTGTACTTCAGTTTCCTCATCTGTAAAATCAGTATAATAGAGTCATGCCTAATTACAAGATTATTATAAGTATTAAATGAGTGAATATACATAAAGCATTGAACACAGGGCCTAGCAGGACATAAGTACCACATACAGGTTTAGAATTATTCTGTTTTATTATTTTGAAAAGTAATACAGCATATGATTTTTTTAAAAATTCAAAATACTCAAAAGGCTATGGTAAAAAAAAAAATGTTTTTCTCATCCATAAACCTCCCAGTTTTCTTCAGCCCTTCAATTCTCCCCAGAAGAAACCACAGCTACCTATTTCTTGGGATTCCTTCCAGAGATGTCTGGTGCATCTGTGTGTGTGTGTGTGTGTGTGTGTGTGTGTGCGCGCGCGCGCGCGCACCCTTTCCCATAAATTTCTCTTTTGTTGTTGTTGTTGTTGTTGTTGTTTGGGGTCGTTCAGTTCCTGGTAGAGCCTTTTTTGTTTAGTTTTCTGAGGGAGGTTGTTTTGTTCCAGTGAGAAAGGAGAGAGTGAATTCGGGTTGTCTCGGAGCTGGGCCATCAGTGATTTCTGAAACACCTGGCCGTTGTGGGGTGCGCTGCAGTTAAATGTTTGCTCCTGCTGTATCCATATGTGCCTTTGGATGCAGGCACCCACTTTCAAGGTGAAACCACTCCCTGAAGGACGTGGAGCGCTCCGATGGTGCGAATACGAGAGGATGCTGAGCGCCATAATCAGTTCTGGACTTGAGTGATTAGAAAATATGGAAAGCACTTCAGTGCTTTAAAATTGCTCCACAGCACGCAGCCAAGGAAACAGATTGCTCTGGTATTTATCCCCCAAGTTCACAATCATTTTCCGTTTCAAGAGCTGCCAAAAAATTAACCCACAACTCTCAGAAATCGTCATCTCTCTTTTAGTTTGTATCTGATCATTTGAATTCACATGTCCTTCTGCCAAACTGTCACTCTCCTTTAACAATGTAGAGGCTGCTGGTTGCGTCACCACGTTGACGGCATAAGTACTGCAGTGCTCCCCTGTGGCGTAAGGGACTGTTCACTGGTGTTCTTGGCGTCCACCCAGCTGAGTAGTGCATTGACACCCTGGGGCGTGCAGTCACTGTTCTTCAGAGGGAAGTTTCCAACTTCATTTGAAAACATCATCTAGGACAAATGGGCTAGAGCAGGGGTGGGGAACATCCGGCCCGAGAGCTGTATAAGGCCCAAGACGTCATTTGGTCTGGCCCTGCCAACGCAACTGCAGGCAGGACTCGAAATGCAATAAATCTAGGAGCTTTTTTCATAGCAACATAAATTTATATTAAGTGAATTATATTAAGCGAATGACATTATAAATATTCAAATGGCCCTTGGCAGAAAAAAGGTTCCCTACCCCTGGACTAGAGAAAGATACTTCCCTTGGTCTCATCTGTGCCCCTCAGGGGGTTTTGTCTTCTCAACCCCAGTGTTGAGCCCTTGCCAAAAGCTTTCATTGGTGGTTGGTTTGGCCTCTGAGCTTGAGTCACAAGACCTAGCAGTGTTTGTGTTTTGGTTCACTATTGATATGTAACAAAGCACCCAACACTTGGTGGCTTAAAACTACCACCACACTGTTCATTGCTCATGATTTCATGGGTCAGAAATTTGGGCAGGGATCAGCGGGGTGATTCTTCTGCTCCATGTGCTATCAACCAAGATCCTTTGGTGTGATTCAGCTAGTAGATGGGCAGGTTAGAAGGTCCCAAAGGGCCTCACTGATGTGTCTGGCACCTTCGTAGGCACAGCTAGAAGGCTGGGCTCAGCTGCACCCTTCTGACTTGCCAGGTTGTCTCAGGTCTTTCCACATGGTTGGACTTCTGACATGGCAGCTAAGTGTTCCAAGAGCAAACCCTCCAATCTCAGGGGGAGCTGCAAGGCTTACAATGACCTAGCCTGGGAAGTCCCAGAATGGCTCTTCAATGCATTCATCAGTCATGAAGGCCAGCCCAGACTGAAGGAGAGGAGACCCCACCTCTCCATGGGAAGATACCATAGAATTTGAAAGCATCTTTACTATAACCCAATCTGTCTCAGGGACACACACCGCTGGTTGGCTCATCTGCTCACTATTCATTGGTGTGCTCTGGGCAGACCACATTGTGTGGGAGGGACAAAGCCACGGTCACCCTGCCTCGGGTGAAGGTTTAGTCTAAGCGAGGCTGAGCAATGGCTTTCCAGGGCTACATGATTCTGAACAAGACATTGTTCGTTAAAAGAGGAATCTG